CAAAAAAAAAAAAAAAAAAAATTATTTGAACGCAAAAAACATAGAGGAAAAAAAAGAAAAACGAAATCAATTTAGAGCAAGGACTAACAACCGACTGCCTCCCTGAGACACGCACACACATACACGCCTATACATTGAGCTATTACTGAAAATAGGTTTCAATCGTTAAATACACACTGGAGGAGAATTCACAGACTATTCTTAACACTCTATATTAAGACACGCACACATATGCCCACAAACGTATATACATACATGAGCGCTTATGACTGATTGTAAGCGTGCATTGGGTGTTCTTGTGGGGTATTGTGTGCAAATGAAAGTCAGTTAACAAACAATGTTTTCAAGGACTCTATACATGAAGAGTTTCGATTTCATTATAGGAAAAGAAGAAAACGTTTTTTCTTTTTGACTTTAATACAAAAAAAAAAAAAAAAATAAAAATAAATAAACGTATTTTAATTTGATTTGAACTCATTTAAAAGTTGCTTTCATCTTAAGTGAATGAGCTACACACCCTTTCGAAAGCAATTAAATCTTAAACGGATCATAAATTCTTGCATAAATTTGTAAGGTGTGTTTTTGGCCTGGTTTTTTTATTTTAGAACTCGCCAACAGCTTTGCTGATTATTGCCCCCTTGTTAACATTTTCTTTTCTTTTTTGTTATTATATTATATTGTGCGGTATATTGGGTTAACAAGAACAAGAACATTCGCTAATGACTTATATAAATGAAAAAATTTCCCTCATTCTTCGTTATATCTTCTTTTCTTCAGCGATTTTCCAACTAATTTACTTAGTTGTTGTTATCTGTTTCATTAGTGTTGTTGCTGTTTACTTCTTTGAAATTATGTTCAGGTACTGTGATTGGGGCTGGGAATCCAAATTCTAACAATTCGCTATTTCGACTTCACCTTCGCCAGGCCATCTTTAAGACTCATTGCCTTGTTCTGATGGTTTTTCTTCGCTAAACCCGATGTTATCTCTTAATTAATGCCATCCAAACGACTTCAACGGTTCAAATAAAGCTATTTAGCTATTGAATTACCCGTAGAGTCATCACTGCATTCTGATCAAACGATTTTGCCATTTTCCTCCTAAGCAATTTCGTAAGAGAACATAGTCCCCTTTGTTCGCGATGTCCTTTCGTAGTTCAGAGTAATAGATATAAACTCAACGCCACCTGGTATTTATTTTATTCTTTCGAGAAATATCCACAACTAACAAGTCGTACACAGCACGTCTTGAGCTTATACAAAGTCAAGCAATTGTCGTAAATGTCGTAGCAATCCCATTTAAGGTCCATCAACTGTCATCCGCAGCCATGTTAATATGCAGTTAATAGTTGCACTTATTACAAGTTCATGCGTGCCGCTTTAATAAGTATTTATATTTGGATATAAACTCCTACTACCTTTATATACATTATTTAATCGCCTCATAATGTTCAATATCTTCCACTTGATGACTTCATATGATGATGATATCCAAGAAAATTTTTCCCACGCCTTGTGCCTTTCATCTTAACGACATGTTGACGTGTTGCCTCATGATGTGTGTCGCTGTCTGAAGCTGCAATACTTTCACGAGTAAATAAGCAAAAGCGTATAACTTCAAAATGTAGATATGTAATGGAACGCTATAGGGATGCATACGGATCCCTTTACCTTCTTTAACTGCTACTATCCTGATAATAGAATCATATATTTGTTTACTCATTTCATTTATATGTAGCGGTTTCGATATTCTATAAAATATAGGTTATAGCAGGGTTTGGCAACCCATGTCCCGCGGGTCACCGAATAACGCACTTTAGTTCCGAAATTAAAATATTATTTGTAAAAATAAATTATGAAACCCTAATTGCAAATCAGTTATAAGTTCAACAACAGGAGAGCCATTGGTATCGAAGAGAAATTTTTGTGATTATTGAAAATACCTCTGGTCCAAGAGGCTCTTTAATACTCATAATTTGATTGATTTTGACTCGCGGCCAAAAATGTTTGCCGACCTGTGGGCTATAGGGCTATAGTGGGCCGTCGCTCGCTTCAACAAAAGCTTTTGAAATAAATTTGAATTGTCCGTCCGTCGTCGATTGCTTGTTGAAATTTCGAAAGGTTCAAAAATTATTAAAAAAAAGTGTGGAAATTAAAGAGCACGCTTTTAGTTCACTTTCAAATTAAAGCACCTGGAAGAATCAAATCTTGAACCATGTCGAAAATGATATCATATTGTATTCAGAATTCATTTCTTTATGTGACTATACAAATTATTTCGAAAACTGTTTTAAATTGCCATCCAGTTAAGTTAATGAGCAAAAGTCGCTATAGCAATTATTCGGCTATTTGTAGATAAATAGATAGGCGTATAAGGGGTGTGAAGATAAATTCCAATTTAACTATCAAAGACATTTATCACCTCCGCTAAGCTCCGTAAGAGCTCTGCACTCGTCTGCACAAAACGGGGGCCTGTCCGTCAAGGGGATGAAATTAGACGCCCTCGCCGTCCAAATTGGGATATGTAAGATACTCTTTGAATTTTTTAAGTTTGTTTGAAACATATTTCCATAAATGAATATTGATGGAATTTCATGATCTGGTCGCATTAGACTCTCAAATTTCATCATATGCTTATATAGCAAATTTCAAGAATTTGTGCGAAAATAGTTCCGAAGACCAGAATTTGAATTTATTTAGCTTATTAGGCGTGCACAAAAGTATCTTACGTTTCTAATTTGAATGGATTATGCCTCTAAATCCAAGCGTGTCTTCATCGGGACAACTTAGTGGAGCTCTGTTAAATCGTTAACAAAGATAAGTAAGTATAAGTGTCTTCGGTTGTTAAATTCGAGCTTATCCTCACGACCTTGAGTTGATTTTTTTATTTAATTTCTTATCGAGAAGCATTATAATGCAATTAACAAAAAAAAGTCATGATCTCATTCTTTAAAAATTCACTAAATTTCTTTCTTAAAGATTTCGTTATTTGCCATGAGTCAACAGTAAACAATAAGAAATAACAATTATTCTGTTCGGTTCCGCTTAGTTTTTATCAAAACAAACATTCCTATATAATTCAATTAGTATTTTTTAAATGCGACATTTATTGAGAGTTTGATAACAAAAAATAATGGAAAAGTTTTACACCCTTTCCAGTTAAGATGTATTTAAATGTGTATTTAGAGAGCTGATAAGAAAACGTAAATTTGCAATACCAAGATCAATTAAAAGCGGATATTGTGAAACCTGCCCACGAGCATCGGCGCTAATTTCATCGCTCGTTCTCTAAGCCAGGTACATCAGTTTACTCATCATAAACAGGAGGCAAGTGAAAGACTTCATCAAAGTGAACAGTGGCAAAGTGGATGATCAAGTTGCCGTTTGATGGGCAAAAAAAGGAGAATATAAGGAAGAATTGCATCTAAAATTGAACTAAACATAGAGGTGACCTTGCCGAGGATTTAAATCGCAGGTTTTTGGAAGTAGCTGCACGGGATCAAAATTTAGAAACGAAAAGAACGTCGTTGTTTTCAAGAATATGAAGTTTTTCTTTATTGTGGGTGTGCATGTGGACGGATCACGCCCAACATCTTATTCTTAATCGATCAAGGAATGTTTCTGCCTATCTTCATTTTTGTGACTATAGAAATTCCAGAAAAGTTTTAAATCAAAGTAATTCCTAATGGCAGGAATATATCCATATGCCAAATGTCATTAGTTCTAGACCGTGGCTAGTGTGCGTCTGGAACAAAAATTGCATCGTGTACATTGACACATTAAAGATACAAGTGAGTATTCACGATTAAGCCAACGTTAGTTAACTGCTACAAGTTACAAACACATTTCGCATCGAGCCTGTATTAATGGTCACGCTTAAAAAATCCACCTTGAAAAGAAGACAAAGAACCAAATGTTTTCTAATTCGTTATCGGCACTATGGAAGCCATACAATACTTAGTACCAATGTAAACACGGCACCAGTGGAAATTGATCTGTTTTCTCATTCTTCAACTCGGCGCAAACACCTTTGGATATCCGACAGTCAACATGCTATTTCAAGAATTCCGATGAAACTACCTAAGATCTTTGATATAAACTGAGATGTCAAGTTGAAAGTTATTAACATTATGACAAAAACAGGAATACAGCACATGGCCTTCACGCGCAAAGTAATTTAATGTTTTGAAGGGTTCTTGAAAGGTTCTTTTCAAAGGCCATTGTAACTAGAGCTAAATTACGAGTTTTGATGGTCTAGATGATGACCTCTGCGAGCTCTCACGTACATCTGGCTAGGAACTAACATGACATGAAAAAGCTGATATTCTCTTGCTTCTAATTAAGAACATCGTTCTTCCAATGTTCGCTAGCGGTAAAAATTCAATAACCAGTTTCCATTTAAACTTTTTTAAGTATCCTTCTAAAATACCGTCGATCTCTTAACTTAATCTTATTATTTAAAGGTCATTAATTACTACTAATTAACTCTTCGACATGATTTTCATTTTAACGTCCTAATGCTTCTCTAATTCTACAAATAAATATCCACTTCAACTTTATATAAATATTTCCAGCGTTTAAGCTGTTTTCAAAGGTCCATTTCATTTTTACATAGTATTGTAAATAAATATTTTCGAGGATTTTCCAGTTAAATAACTGCTAAAATAAATTACATTTCCCAGCATACAGAGAAAGGTTAGTATCACTTGAACTTCTTACTCTAACATTGTACAAAAATGCTTGTAATCTTTACACATTAATAATCTCTCTAAGAGCATATATATATATATATATATATACATAGGCATATAGACACATATAAATTTGTTCTCTTACATATCCCTAGAGTTATTCTTTTGCTTTAAATCCCATTAAGCTTACTTCCTATGATGAAATTTTAAAATGTATTATATATGTGGCTGTGTGTAGACGGCCTCTGTTTCCATTTATATCATAAAATAAAATTAAATATATAGATATATATATATATCCAGGATACTGACCTTTTTTCCTTTGCCCTTCTTGTGTCTCAAATACCGGAATATCGTGAAGAAGAGAACACAAACAAAACAAGGCGGCATTAAAAAATACGTTGTTTCAATTCTTTATCTCTTTGATAAAAAAGAGAGAAATTGCTTGAACTTAAAAAGAGAACAAAACTTTACTATATATGTGTATACTCACATATAAAATAATTATTATTGTTCGTTTTAACGTTTTATGTTTGTTTTTATTGAGATTTCCTTTCTCTCTCTCTCTTTCTCTCTCGCTCTCACTATCTTTATTAAATAATTCAACAAAATACACAATTAGACCAAGTCTCATTAGTCTCACACTCAGTTTCATAGATAAAGATTACAGTAGCGGCGAGAAATCCTTTAACTTTCTCTTCCACTGTTTACCCTAAGTCTCACACGGTCTCTTTCTCTTTTATTCAAACACTTCTCATTAAATCCTAAAATTTTTGCATATGGGTGGAGATTTTCACGGGTTTTTACTTTTATGTGTTATCGGTAAAAGTTGAGAAAAGCGATAAAGCCGCACATAAAAACAAACAAAACATAAAACTCTAATAACAAAAAAATATATTAAAAACTTCCATTTTCTTCTTTTCGTTATTGAAATAATTTTTTCTCATATTTGTAATGTTCGCATTTTTTATTCATAATAACAGCACAACGGCTTCGAGTGTTATTCTAAAGTAATACACGTATCTGTATATAATTTCTTTTTTCTTTTTTTTTTTACAAAAAGCTACTCAGCAATAAGCAACTTTGCTGTTTTTTGTGTTTGTTTTTTTTGTCATCCTAAGGCTTTATTTTTTTATTCTTCTTCTGTTTCTTCGTCTTTCATTTCATTGCTTCTGTCGCTAATAATAATAACAGTAGCCCAAGCCAGCAGCAGCATCCATCCAATTGCAGGTATGCAAGCGTATGTGTGTTTGCGTACGTAAGTTATGGACATTTGCTATTGTTATTTTTGTTATTGTAGTTCATAACTTTGTTGGCTTGTGGGACAATGCAAGATAAGCCACTCGTCCAGCTTGCCAGCCAGCCAGCCAGCCAGCTAGTCAGTCAACCAAGCGAGCAACCAAGTGTCCAAATAAGTTAAGAAAAAATTAAAAATCTTGTTGTGCCTTGTCTTTGGACACACCAAACACACTCATATTCATGCATATACATGTACATACACGTTTACGGATGATTGGTATCTTTTTGAGACGCGACGTTGTAGTCTTACAAAACCGGTTTTTGCACTTTTTTCACCCAACACTTTTTTTTTTCTTATGCGCTGTTGTTGTTTTTGGAGCTTGCTTTCCCACTTTAATCAGAACAGAGATTTATTGAATTTTTCTTCTTTTTTTTTTTTTTTTCTTTCCTTTCGCGGACACTTCACTTAGCCGAAGACAAAAAGGAAACGATGACAGCACACTTTTCTTGCGAAATTCTAAAATTATTTTTATAATACTTTTATTATTCTATAAAAAATTTCTCTCTTCAATGGAGCCCTTATGATTTGCGCACAAATATGATTTTCAATTCGATAATTCTTTAGGCGATTTTTTATGTTTTTTTCTTCGCTTATACAGCACATATATAATATTTTGTTTTTATTGGTATTGAAGTACACTCCGTTACCTGTAACAACCGTAAACCGTATATTTTTTCTTTTTTTTTACTAGAAGAGAAAATCACCGACAATACAACAATATAAATATATTTTAATTAAGTAAAAGTATTTATTGTGTATTGTTAATAGTTTTCTTCTCAATATTATATTATATATATTTACGCATATTCCCGCGATAAGCAATTTTACACCTTTATTACCTTTATTATTCAAAAAATTTTTTGAACTGACTCCACTCGAAATAAAGTAAAGGCATGCTAGCGAATTTTTTATTTTTCCTGACATGTTTTACTCTCTTTTGACAAAATTCTATTTCTCAGAGAAAATTTACATTTGCTGTACTAGACCCCTGAGTGGCTTTTTGTATTTGCGAGAATAAAATTTCCCTGTTCTCGGCTTAAGGAACTAAATTCATCTGAACTGAAATCTGACTGAAATTGAGTAAACTATCTAAATATCTAAAGAGACAATCTATACAACCATATCTATGTGAAGAGAAAAAATTTTACACTGTCAAATACATATTATTCTCAGGCAAAAGCAAAAAGTCAGTCGGGGCATCCATAAGAAATAAGCAGGCAAGTAAATTTTACTCTCCCAAATACACTTTTGGTCTCAGCAAAGTCAAAGCCTTCTCCAGGGCATACATAAGAAAAGTACAGCAAAACATTTTACTCTGCGAAATATATTTTGCGAAAGTGCTTTTCTGAGAGTAAAATTTGCTCTGTATATTCTTATAAAAGCTGTTTTGAACATAAAAAAATTTTAAACCAAAAAGTTTTTAAACTTCAAATCTTCCGTTTTTTATATATATTTTTTATTACCACATTTTGTAAACGAATTTTTTTTTTTAATTTCCATCTAGGCATTTTAAACAATTTTTAATAATTAATCATTAACGTATGAATCATATATTAAAAAAAAATAAATTTACATTGAGAAATAATATCAAACTTTTAATAATAAAAACGAATCCAGGTAATAACTTTAAGTTTTCATAATACTATTTATCAATTAACTTTCCTCCCTAACAACTCTTATGGATAATAATCCTATTGTTTTTTTAGAAAAATAAAAAAATCTATTCATTGAAAGATCTCAGTATAGTTGTGTTTACGTTTATATCTAATATTACCATTTTTAAATCGCTTCGATATCTGGAAATGTCCAGAATGTTTGGATCCTGAACGTTTCTCTGCCTTTTGGTATCTCTACGCAATTTTATTCGTATTCGTATGGATATTGGTTTGCTTTTACGCTTACGAATGAGCAAATGAGAAGCAAAACTCTAAGAAGAAATCTAGAAAATGTTTAGATTGATTTTCTCATAAGCAATTTGTAGGGTGATTCTCTCTCTCCTTTCCAGATACGAATAAAAAGTTATCTTCACTCAGAGCAGCCAAAACTTTGCAATAACAATCCCCTATTCAGGTAGAAGGCATTCAGCTCACTCTTTCGCTGTTAGCTAAATGGGAAATTTACTCAACCACACAACAAAGAGTATATTTAGTACTCTACTAAAGTAATGAGGCTGTTAACGTCATTATTATTATTGTTGTTACTAATAATATTGTTTTGAATTGATTGCTATGAAGATATAAAGAGAGCTATGTGCTATGCGCAATAGCTTTTAATTAGTAAGAGATTAAAAAGAAAGGAAAAAGAGAAAGAAAGAAGCAGTGAGAGTAAAATACCTAAAACATTCTGAGCTCCGTTCTAATACCAGGTAAAATAGATTTTTTGTTAAGAGAGGAAGAGAGGATGAGACGGTTTATATGTTTTTATTATTCAACGGTTTTAACGGTTATTTATTAAAGACAACAACAACGAAGCGAAGTATATTTTAAACATTAAAAAGCCGGTTATTTATTCATGAAGTTTTATAATTTTGTTAGAAATATTTGTATGCATGTTTTTTTGCTCTTATATAAACTATATTATACAATATTTTTTAGTCGTAATATATGGGAAAAAAAAATTCGCTCAAACAATAATAAAAATAATTATATAATATACCTTCTGTACATAATAGTTTCAATTCTCTTAAATATCGATTGATCTGTTTTTGGGTTTCCGAAGCAACTCAAAGGGCTCGAGGCTAGCAGAAATAACGGGCTATTTCTATTTTTTTTAAATCCTTTCAAGTTAAGCGAATTTTCAAGTTAATTTTTACACCAGCAGTCGAGTTCCTTTTTTTTCTCTGGCCCCATGTCAACAAGTTTAACAATCTTCGTGCAGGGTTGCAATATTCGAGTTCGTTTCATTCGTTTCGCATTTCATTTGTTTCTTTACGAAGTCTGCAACTTGTATATAATGCTACCTGCAACTTTTAAGTTCTGCAGCTTGTATCTTTATATGAACTCTGCAACTTTTAGAAGGCTTCTGCAACTTGCGTCGTGACATATGTTAAATAAAATCTTTATAAAGCAGATCTTGGCAAGCAGGTTCGTTTTGATTGGTTGAATTTTTGTTTACATTGGAGAAGAACCAAAACAAAAAAGAACACGTACTGTACGATAAATAGTTCAAAGTCTTAACAAATTAAGAGAAAGAAATAGTAAGAGTTGTCACTATAAAGCAAAAAATTAATCAGATCAAAATTATAAGATGTTAATACTTTATGCTAGCAAGACACATACATCGATGTACGGAAATTGTTTACCTGTTGGGATACATTTACTTGGCGTTAAGAGTATTATCAGGTCGTAAGTGCGCGTTGAGAGCTTGTGCTTGCTTCCACAAAGTTTATTATTTATTTCGGAACACATTTTTGCGACTTTATACGATGCCGTCGATAACGTTTGCTAATTGTTTCACCGTAGGTATGTTACGAAGAACGGGAAACATCACGACACATACACGTTCAGAGAACCAGCCAACAAAGGAGAACGGCCATGATATGACTTACTTATGATGAGCGATATAAATTTTGAAGATATGGCTGGATTTTAAGATTCCTTTTGAACGAAAGCTTAAAGGAAATGAACATCTTTAAGAACCACTTTGAAGTGTCATATAAAGGATGGTTTTTCTATTAAAGACTGTTCTTAATTTCGATAATTCAGAGGAATTTACACGAAAATTTTCAGAATCGGCTAAATATAGCTTTTTATCTAATTGAAAATGAAAATTTATATCGTTTCATACATATATTAAAGACGTTATAAGCATAAATTTATTGATTTTTAAGCAAATAACCGGAGGTTGGAATCTCTAATTAACAGCACGACACGGTCCAGACAATGCAAACAAAAAGGTCTGATCAAAAATCGGTATAAGCTTTTATTGAGAATCTTACTATCAATGAAAGCTTATATTAGTTCAAAATTCTTTTCTCAATTATTCCTTCATCATTCCTTCTTCATTGTATCTTCAAGAAAAACTCTAAATTAATGGAAGATATAATTGCGAGTGGAATGGAGGGAAAAAGCCAGGAGAAAGATCATATGAATCTTGCTTCTTTCTTAGACGCCATTCTGACAGATGTACGGACACAACTTCATTTGTGTGAATGCCAATAGATAACTGAGAACGCAGACTTTCGGATAAACCTCATGAATATT